TCCGTAATATCCAGGGATACCAGTATCCCTAAGAATGAGATGATGCGTGGACCTATATGTGTTGGAATTGATGGACGTACGTCTTTATTCAACCCCAAATACTATGTAACTATGTAGATCATTAAATGTAAACCTTCCTTGTTTTGGTCCTTTTTTGAGGCCTGATTTATCAAAGAAGTTGAGAATCTTTACACAGCGCATTGTGTGAATGTATTGATTTAAATTTTTCAATCAGGTCAACAGTAAATCTTTGTTTGCCTATTTCATCTGCACACGATTTAGTATTCAAAATAGATATAAAATAGTTTTTCACATATTGTTTGAAGATTCCCAACTCCTTTAGAAAATCAGCCTGTGTCTTTGTAAAATTACTAAAACTGAGAGAATTGTGCCATCTGGGGGTATCATGAAGACTTTGTTTCCTCCTGTTTGGCAAATATGCACTGGGTGAGAGGATGAATTTGAATCATTTCATTTAACCTTGTTAACTATGTAACCCCTGAAGGGGGCCCTGATTCATCAAACTATCAAGTAATATTGCTATCAAGTTATATCACTATTTATGATCTGTCACTATCTCTCATTGTACAAAATCTTCAAATGGATGTTACATAGGCTAATATTTCTGTAAATAATGTATTATCTAACTAATGTCACTATATATAATCTGTCACACCAACTCATGTAAATGTATATAATATCACGTCATCTCCTGTCACTGTATGTAATCTGTCAGTGACTATACAATATTATTTTATATTTATCATTTGCGTATTAGGACCACTAATGAAAGAATAGGAATCTGAATACAATTTCTGCTTTTTTTAGGCTATTGGTGATAAAAAAAATCTTAAAATAAGCCTTTTAATGTCAGTTTCAAAACAAGTGTTACTATATATTTAAAGTGCTAATTTGTCCTGTTTATCCTGAGAGTACCGGATCAGTGAAGGTCACCAATAGGACACCTAGAAAGCAATTGTTTTCTATGTGTCGCATTCACTCATTACATTTAGGGTGTGATGAGCGGGGCACTACGATAAAAAGAATACGAACATGCTGCATTTTATCACAAAACAATAGATCCCACCGCAGGTCGCCACGCGGCATTGCAGTGGACTGTGCTGCCATGCGGGAAACTGAATAGGGTTGCCACCTGTCCGGGATTCACCTGGACAGTCTGGGTTTGGAATCCTGTGCCTGGGTGCAAGCCCACCAGTACTATGTAATAGGCACAGCCTATAGTCACTGCTGTTTAGAGAACAATTTTTTCCGCTGCAGCCCTGCAGAGGGGGGTGTTAAAAAAGAATCCCCCCAGTGTCAAATATACTAGGTATGCCACTGCTCTACATCATGTGCTTTGCCAATCCGACATAGTCCTATGACTGAAGCAGATGTACCACACATATACTGTATATAGACACATACACACACCTCCTGCCTGAATTATTTTAAATCCTAGGTAGTGCATATTGTTCACACCTTCAAGTGACAGCCTCAGCTATCCTCGAGATACAGGTATATGGAAATGATGACTTCAAATAAGATATTGGAACTTTACCCCATACATATTAAGCTCCCCACCATTGATCAACAAGAATGTCCATTATATTGATGGTCTACTATTAAGATGTGGAAGCTTCTGGCTTAAGTAGTATTACACATTACAGAACACTAGGTTTCAGGGCTCCGAGGACACTTTGGAAGATCACTGACGCTGTAAGCAGGCACCTGGAGGTATTTGTTATACCACCCCAGAGGCAAATTACTATGCTCTAATTACATTTACAATGACCAAACAGTACCATTAACAAGAATTAGCATCTTGTATGTATATATATTAAGCTGAAATTTAGATTGTAAGCTCTCAGGGGCGTGGCCCTCCTTACCATCTTGTTGTGAATTGTATTGTGTTTGTAATGTCTTCCTTATATTGTAAAGCGCTGCGCAAACTGTTGACGCTATATAAATCCTGTATAATAATAATAATAAAATAGGATGTTACTTACAAATAGTTATTTTAATGTGATCACTATACAAGACCTTATCTTATTTAAGAGAAAGTATGAAATGGTTAAAGTGATAGTAAACTCAAGAGTTAAATCTTAAAAATGCATTTAATTACCTTATCTAGTAACAAAAATGTACCTCTTGTGTGTATCACTCAGCTGTAGATCCTCTAATCATCTCTGAATTTATGCTGACACTGTTCTTCCTTCTGGAGGGCTACTTTTGTTCCCCATGGTCCCTATGTGTGCTGTAAAATACCACTGCAAGCAAGAAGCCCCAATGGATCACAAATTGATCACAAAGGTGGTCTTGGAGGTGTGTTTGGGGTCAAAGGTTGACATTATAGTCCATCACAGGGACCAGAGTGAACAAAAGTAGCCACCCTCCAGAGGGAAGGACAATGTCAGCATGAATTCAGAGGATTTGAGGATCCACAGCCGAGTGATATACAAGTAAAATACATTTTTATTAATAGTTGAGGTACTTGAATGCATTTTTAGGATTTAACCCCTGAGTTTTGTGTCACTTGTCAGTTTTTGCCACCTGTATCCAATTGGGGAGATTTCCCTTCACTTTCTGTCCAATAGACACGATAGAAAATGAGAGAGAATCTATCCAAAGTGAGAAAAATCGTTAAGCTGCCCATACAACTGACGATTATAGTCCGATAATAGCCGGTGATACCGCGATCATACGATAATCGTAAGGTGTATGGGCAGCGTGCGACCGCATTTACTGTACGGTCACACGACTTTCGCTAGAAAACCCGCTGAAAACCATAAGCTTTTCGGCGGGTTGGTAGCGCGATCGCAAGACGATGGCCGCACGGGCCGAGGTGCGCAAGCGCACACTGCCTGCTCATCATTGCAATCATTTGTAAGCCCTCCCCTCAGTGGGGAGGACTTGCGATGATCGCAAGTATGATCTGCCTGTCCAAGATGGGAAAGTCGTGCGATGGTTGTAAGGTGTATGGCCACCTTTAGACAGTTCTCATTTAAACAGGTGTCCGCATGAAGACTTCCCCTCTGTTAAAATTGTAACTTCCCAACACTTTCACACCTGGCGGAAAAAAAAAATCAAAACCTGACAAACCCCTCACCACTCTATCAGAAATTAAAAAAAACATGTTGGCTTCATAGTTTAAGCAGAAAAAACAACTGTGAATACGGTTATGTATTTGTTAAAAATAAAAAAAATAAATGCAATCCGTGTAAATACCTGCATTTAACTTTAAAAGCACTCAGAGGGAGTGCTTTTAAAGAGTGAGAGGGAGGGGCAGGGAAGGAACAGGGAGGACGGGGAGGAAGGGGACCTAAGGGTCAATCAGGTTTCCTGCATTTGCATGTACTGACAAGGAACACGCTGACAGGAGCAGAGAGGTCATGTGACCTAGATGTGTTACTAAAAAAAGATCAGGTCCCCAGAGCTGGCCGTGGCATGTGGTAGGACTGTGTAAATCTCAGGACTGGATGAACAGAAATGCAAATTCTTTGGCAAGTAAAAGAGCTCTTATATATATTTCAACTAGTTGTTTGCCTGGAGTCCAGCGTTACATTTCATTCATGTTTACAATACAGTTGTAGATACCTGAGTGCACCATTTCAGATAAGTATCAAAACAGGTTTTTCTCAGAAAAGCAAATGAATAGTTAGTGTGTGGCCCTTCATCTGTAATCATACATGCATTGTTACCCAAGGTGCTTTGTTATTTTAAATGTATATTCATCCTAAGTATGTCATTTGAATAAATGTATCATCATTCCTAGAATTATCCTTACTCATAAAACAGTACAATTAGCACACAATATTGCTGAACTAATTACTTGTGTGTAAGTTTTAGATAGTCTTAGCTGGTAATTTCTTTTTTTTTGTGACTGTACAACCATGAATCAAATACACATAGTGTAGTTTTCTCTAGCCTCAGTTTAGGTTTTTGACAAGGAGTCCATCTGAGTATTGTAACCTCTGGAGAATTTTCCACAATGTTATCAACTAGTCATTCTTTGACCTGAGAAGGCTTCAACAGTTACTGGAAAACTAAGCTCAACATTTTTTCTGTCACGGTGAAAATATAATTAAGTAATTGATAAACAGCCAACCAGACGTAATTAAAAGACTGCAAGAATCAGCACTACTTTGGATAGGATTGTGTATATTATATGTTGCTTACATGCCAATTAAAAGGAAAGAAAATTAATGTAAATATCTATATATATATATATATAATCACGTTACCTTATCACAAGCCTGTTTTGTAGTGATTAGATGTAAACACATACTTCTAAGCCAAATGTAGCTCTTCCAGTCTTAATAGACATATAGACACAAAGGAATCATTACCTAATTACAATAAATCAAGACATAAGAGCAAAATTCTATTCTAACGGTTTCAAGCTTAAATCCAGCTTTCATGTATTTGTTGCATTCATGTGAACTGGTGTTGTTTTTTTGAGTAACGAGATGCTTGCAGTGCTCGGTATTCTGAATAAAAAAAATAGCAGAACAACAATATTTTTTTTTTCACACTGGATAAGAACGCAGAAGGGGGAGCATGATTTAGGAAACAGGATGTGATGTAGGTACAGAGACATCTTCATCCCTTATATAAACCTAAAACACCTCACCTACTTTCCCTGTCCAATTCCTGATATCTCCATCATGTTTTTGCAAGTCGACATGTTCAATTCAATCTGGCTTGGCACATGGCAATTTTGTGGCTGCTCTGTCACATCTTACACTGTGTAATCCTGGTGAGTTGTGGGTTTGTGTGAAGCTATATTGGATTGAATTTATACATTTGCACTGACTGTGTCAACAACAAATGAGAGCCCGGAGCTAGTTGGGGGAGAACAGGGAGAGGAAACCTGTTCTTCCTCAGATGTACATCCACGACGATTGTCAGCCACTTGAGCAGCTTCTCACCCCCAGTTATAAAGATGCTTTCATAGAGAATGAATTGGAAGTCAGAGAACCAAAACAAGGAAGCAATCTTACCTTTAGAGGATCTTCTTTGCTTGGTCTGCAAAGAGGAGAACGTGCCCATCACTGCACCCATTTTGGAAAATAAGATTCTTGTGTGACTTTTTCTATTAAAAAAATCCCTCTTCAATAAACATCCGTTTGGACTGACTACTCCAGGAGAAAGAAGCACTGCAGCCTTCAGCAAGCGTTGTGCTGTGAGCTGTGCTCTCCCCCTCGCCTTCTCGGTTTCAGTCAACACACACACACACACTCACACACACACTGACTGAAAGGCTTCACGATTATTATTCAAAACATCTCCCCATCAAAATAGAAATGCTGGTGGAGTCCCTCAGACCAGAGCTGGAAGAGCATAGCATTAAAATGTATATAGGAAGCTGACAAATAAACCCAGGCTATTTTTTCTCTCTTTCTCTCTCTCCTGCTCGCTCATGGCTCCCATAACTAAGAAACGCAGCCAACAGATTTCTTCCAGAATACTGATCATAATTCTCTGAAAACATGGAGAGGAGCTGCTGGGGTAAATAATATGTTTAATACAACTGGTGGCAACAGAAGCAGCTGAAATCAATGGGAGAAGTGTCACGTTTAAATATGAGGACAGGAAATGACAATCTTGGAGCATTATATATTGCAGTTTTCATTTATTTTTAAACAAGAGTTTGTTTACAGTCTAGACACGTATTAATCCATATTATGACCTTGCTAAATATAAACATGAATAATATGTTTACTAGCTATCCCCTTATATTTGTAAGGTAAACATCATCCATATGTATATGGTTATAAATCAGAGGTCACATTCCTGCATGTTTACCAGCATGCTAGCCAATGAACAAAAAAATTGCAAATGCAGGGGCCACGCATGTTCAGCCCTCAGTTGTCAACATTAGCCTGCATGCCAGTGTGCTGTGTGAAGTCCAGCGAATGGGCTGTTTTTAAAGAAGAACTCCAGGAGTGGGGCTACTGCACTTTAAGGGTTAAGCGATCGATTTGGCCAAGGCAGTGGCTCCCAACCTTTTTTTTATTTGCGTACCCCTTGACAGTCTATTTGTATTAACTTTACCCCTCAGTGGGGGTGGGACAGGGCATGGGGCCAATAGTAAAGCATGTAGCATGCTGTGTCGAATGGTAGGTGTAGGCAAATTGAACAAACAGAAGGACGGGCTCAAATGCCACTGTGTTGGTGTCAGTGGGATGAAGGAGGGAGCTGGAAGGCTTTTTGGGGTATGCCATATTGCAGTGGTGTGTCCCGTAGCATCTTGGGGTCTCTCTGGGGTGTGGTCTGGGTCACTGGATTTCCTGGATCTATGGCTTCATGCACTTAAGAAAAGCTGAGAGCACATCACTCAACTGGGGACTAACTGAGGTGTTGGCAGCCAGAAATATAAAATGAGTGTTGGAAAATGCTGCCACGGCTTTTTTTGTGGCGGCGGAGGGAGGATTCTTTTAGCGCCAAGGTAAGCTGACACATTTTTAAAAATAAAATCCGGGGACATTTTTAAATGTCCCCGGGAACATGAAATAAAACATTTTTTTTTGTTAAATACTCACCTGATCCACCGCCAAGTCTCCCACGCTGTCAGGAGCCTGCGCCAGCTGGGTGCAGCTTCTGAAAAGATACATTATTAGCGTAGCGGGCGCTTTGCAAAATGCGCAGCCAGCTTCCTCACTACACTAATAGCGTATCTTCTCAGAAGCTCCACCCAGCGTGCGCAAGCTTCTGACAGCGTGGGAGACGGTAGGCTGCACTTGGCGGTGGATCAGGTGAGTATTTTTTTTTAAAAATGGTTTTATTTTATGTTCCCGGGGATGGGGATGCTCTCCTCAATCTGGGGACTGTCCCCAGAAATCGGGGATGAATGTAGAGCTGCAACAACTAATCGACCAAGTCGATTATAATCGATGATTGAAAAAGTTCTCCAAGTTTTCAATCATCGATTATCGGCTTTCGATTAGTTGGCCCTGTTCACGGCTCCACATATGCTGCCCCTCCCCACCTGCATCCACGCTCTACACGCCGCACCTCCTCCCTGACTCATGCTTGCCGCTTTTAGACCCACTCGCCTGCATTCACGCTCCACATGCCGCACCTCCTCCCCGCCTCACGCTTGCCGCTGCTAGACCAGCCTGCATCCACGCTCCACACGCCACACCTCCTCCCCGCCTCACACTCACCGCCCGCCTACATCCATGATCGGCACAGGGACGCAAGGAGAAGTAAGGAGGAGCAGGCGTGGGGGGATGACAGCCGCCGACAGACAGGCCCGATCTCAGAAGCAAGTTGCTGGAAGACTGCTCAGGTAAGCCTGCACTTCCCTCCCCCCCACATGGTGCTCTAAAACGTATTGCTGGGATTTGTATTCCTCTATAGCTGATGGTACATTGTGCTGTATATTATACAGTACAGAGGAATACAAATCCCAGCAATACATTATACACTGTATGTATAATGTACTATTGCTGGGATTTGTTGTACTCCTCTATAGCTGGTGGTATTCTGCATTGCGCTGTATAGAGGACTACAAATCCCCGCAATAATATATTATACAGCGCAATGCAGAATACTACCAGCTATGGAGGACTACAACAAATCTCAGCAATAGTACATTATACAGCACAATGCAGAATACCGCCAGCTATAATGTACTATTGCTGGAGGTATTCTGCATTGTGCTGTATTATGTATTACTGGGATTTGTAGTCCTCTATAGCCGTTGCCAATGCTTTCTGCATTGATTGCTGTATAATTTTACACTTTCCATTTCACTAAATTGCACACCACAGTTTGTATTTTTCTTCCACCGCTCCAAGCTTGCTCCTGTGATGGACTACAATCTCAATACAAACTAGTAGTCCATCACTGGAGCCATTTTTTTATCCCGATTAACCGGTTAATTGAACTTAATATAGCGAGACTTGAGAGCCTCCACAAATCCACCCGGCTTGATGCCACCTTTGTGGAATTATCCAACGCCCGCCGGGAATTGCTTGCTATCTTAGACTCTGGATCACAACTAGCAAGGGAGAGGGCTTGTAAAATACGCTATGAGTCAGCCAACAAATGCGGGCGTCACTTAGCCAGGACCTTACATCCCCGCCCACCACGTGCATTTATTCCCTCTATCTTTGGACCTCGCTCCACTAGACTTCACTCCGCCGTGGGTGTAACCGGAGAGTTCCACCGCTATTAATCAGGTCTATACAATCTCCCGGCCCCCACATTGGCCCCACTCCCAGGGCAAATCGCGGAATCCCTGGAACATTATGTTGAGCAGACAGCTTTGCCGACTTTAGATCCTACCGTTACACTCGCTTTGGAGGCATCCTTCTCCCAATCCGAGGTTGATTGTGCTATTCGTGCTCTTAAAACTGGTAAATGTGCGGGCCCGGATGGGTACGCCCCCAGATTTTACAAAGTTTTTTCTGATCTCTTATCACCTGTTCTGACCCGCACCTTTAATTCGGTAGACGCTATGCACCCCTTTCCCTCCACCATGCTGGAGGCAAACATCTGTGTTATTCCCAAACCCGGCAAAGATCCCTCTCCCTGTCAAAATTATAGGCCAATTTCGTTGCTTAACGTCGACATTAAACTTTTCTCCAAACTTCTGGCACTCCGTCTCTCCCCCTCTTTGCCAGCCCAAGTCGGCTTTGTACCGGGGCGTGAGGCCAGGGATAACACAGTTAAAACGATCCATCTGATCTCCCATATTCATAAACATAATACTAGGGCTTGTTTGATCTCCATTGACGCTGAAAAGGCGTTTGATCGTGTGGACTGGGGTTTCCTCCACCGTGCCCTGCTGCAAATCGGCCTGGGTCCAACTATTCTCGCAAAAATCATGTCCCTACATTCCTCCCCGACAGCTCGAGTGATGGTGAATGGCACTTTTTCCCCTCCTCTCTCCATTTCCAATGGCACTAGACAGGGGTGCCCTCTCTCTCCCCTTCTCTATGTCATAGTCATGGAACATCTGGCGCAGGCCATACGCTCCAATCCAGATATACACGATATTGTCACTCCCTCCTTCCATCATAAGATGTCTCTGTTTGCGGACGATTTACCCCGCTCTGTTAAAGGAATTCCGTAGGTTTGGTGGATTCAGTAACTTTAAAGTTAATATGTCTAAATCATCGGCCCTGAATCTCACGTTGGCCCCTCACACTCTGGCCCTCTTGCGCACAAACTACCCCTTTCAATGGCAAACCCGATCCCTCACATATCTGGGCACTTCGATTCCCTCCGTTTTGTTGGACCTTTTTATCCTGAACTACCTACCTTTACTGGGAGCTGTACGCCGCGCCTTTGACACCTTGAAGATGGAGACACTCCCTAAATTGCTGTATCTCTTCCAAACTATCCCTATCAACCTTCCCAAACATTATTTCTGTGCTCTACGCTCTTTAGCAATACGATTTATCTGGCGGAAGGGATACTCCCGTATACGCTATGGGACTCTATGCAGACACAAATCAGAGGGGGGAGTGGGCCTACCCGACTTCGAGATGTACCATCGGGCTGCACTTCTGGCCAGAATTTTAGACTGGTTCCCAGCCCCTTCCATGCAGTTCAAACCGTCAGTGCTGATAGAACAGGAAATCTGCCCGGTGGATTTGAGAGCCCTCCCTTGGACACCCATGGACACCCCTAGTGACTCCGCACCATTCCCCCAACCTTTTCCCCTCACGACTGCTACCATGAAGACATGGCACAATGTCTATAATGACTAATCCCTCACTACGGTACCTGGTCCCCTCTCGCCATTGTTTGATAACTCTTTGCTCCCAGTGGGGGTGGCTATCCCATCGATAGGGGGATATGGGAGAGGCGACTGGCCCACAGCTAGGGATTTCATCCATCCATCCACGGGACGATTTGTTGGGCCGGAGAGGAATGTGTTGAACCCTACTAGGAATTGGTTATTAGACAGACAGCTGTCTGGCTTTTGTTCGGCCCTGTATGCTTCGGGCCAAGCTCACAGACCTCTGACGCACTTCGAGGACATGCAAGTTGCTCGAACGCCGACTCGCCACACGATATCAGCAATTTATGGGCTGTTGAGAGACACCGCCCAGCGGACCCCACTGAGCTTCCAAGCTCAGTGGCGTGCGGACCTACAAAGGGAACTGACGGACTCAGACTGGGCAACCATTTTCCATTTTACACATAAATCTTCTATATCTTCCTATGCCCAGGAGAAGAATTACAAAATTATCACCAGGTGGTATAGAGACCCAGTCTTGGTACATAGGATATACCCTAATTCCCCAGACGCCTGCTGGAGATGTAATGAGGTGAGTGGCACGTACTTACACATATGGTGAACTTGCCCTAAAATTTTTCATTCTGGCAGAC